AATACTAATAATAATGATGATAATAATAACAATAGTAATACAAACAACAATAGTAATACCAATAAACAGCAATAATAATAACAATAATTATAATAACAATAATAATAATGATAACAAATAAAAATTATCATTATTATCAATGAAAGAATTTCAATTAGGTAAAAGTGAATGTGTCTCAAAAGACATCTAGATCTAGCATGTTCTTCATTATCACCAAGGAAAAAAAAAACAAGCCTAATTTTTACTGGTACCATTATCACTACCATCACCACTACCACCACCATTACCACTATCCTAACCATCACCACGATCATCACCACATCACCACGACCACCAGGACATTTAACAACAATAACAAGTACAACAACAAAAACAACAACAATATCAACAAACAGCAACCACAAACAACAACAACAAATAACAATAAACATCAATAACAAAAACAAAATACATAACATTATAACTAAATAGACATCACAGTCAAACTCTTATAAAACTTCACTTCCACTTACCTTTCTCTGATGCAGCTTCCTTTGTCTGTGCCTGGAATGTATCCTCCTCACATCAAAATAACTCCAGAACAGCCACCACGCACTTCAGGGGAAATCAAATACTCTTTTAGGAAATTCTTCTCATCAACGGCTTGGTTTTTCTTTGATTTGTTAAGTTCATCACCGACTAAATCATGTCTTGCTTACAGCATAACATAGCCTTCTCCTTAAATATTCTGAATGTATTGCTCACTGTACATTTGATATGATCGTTCTCGTAGATAAAAACCTGTCTGGGGCAGAACAATGGAGCCGTGCTTTGAAAGTTAAAATCGTTCAGAGATTAACTCTGTCTTCACCCATCAACAAAACAAAGTATGTCTGTACGCTACAACATTATTATTTTGATCATGTACGAACAGAGTTAAACTTCGTTAGGAAATTTAATACGAATAATAAGATTGCTTCTTGTGTTCTTACTGCGTAGGGAATAACAATAAAAAGAAAAGTTTATTTAAGAATTGATTAAACCTTTGGCAATCGCAAGAACCCAGGAGCAACGCCAAAAACACACGTACGATGAAACAAATAAACACAAGAAAATAAAATATATTGTTATATATACACCCTCTCTTTCCTGCTTTGAATTTTTAACACAAAATTATGATTAGCAAACTGTTCTCTTCGCCAATTTGATGTTGCTTTGGCTTTCACCCTATGATCAGGTCAATTCATGCAAGAGAACAATGAATCCAGCGTTGGCCAAATCGAAAATAAATAATCGAATAGACGGTGGCTGATCATATGTACCGGTAACTCGACCGCCCACTTACCGGGCAGTGAGTGCTCTCACGTCTGCTGCTGTGACCTGGACCTTATGCAGCAGCAAGAGGCGCGAAAGTGTTCTACGCTGGTATATTCAGGGCGGAA